CTTTGTCACTTCTTCAAAAAACTCAACCAAGTTAGTGAGGCACAATTTCCCATGCACTTAAGGAGGGCTAACATGGCAAAGGATAAAACTATGAATGGTAGGATCCTGGAGAGCAGATGGGTCTTGTTCTTCACATCCACAGGTCCCTGAAAATAGCAGGATAGGCAGAAGGCATTTTGAGATACTTGCCTTTATTAGCCAAGGCACAGAATACAAGAGCAGCAAAGTTATACTGGAGATGTATAAGTTGCTGGTTAGTCCAGAACTGGAGTCTTGCATGTAGTTCTGATCAACACATTATAGGAAGGGTGTGATTGCACAGAAGAGGGTACAGAGGAGTTTATCAGGATGCTGCCTAGGCTGGAGAGCCTGTACTATAGGGAAAGATTAGATAGGTTAGGGTTGTTTTCATTGGAGATGCAAAGGTTGAGAGGGGTCCTCTGAAGGTGTATAAGTTTGTAAGGGGAATAGTTAGGGTGTGCAGGAAAACACTTTTTCCATTAGTAGAGGGGCAATAACAGAGGTGAGGGGGGCGCACAGACTTAAGATAAGAGATTGAAGGCTAAGAGGAGAGTTGAGGAAAAAAGTTCTGGAACTTATTGCTTGAAGTCAGAAACTCTTGTAACAGTTATGCAGTATTTAGATATTCACTTATTTGCCATAGACTCCAGGCCAATGGGCCAAAAGCTGGAAAAGGGATTGGGGAAGTCGAATAAAACAAAGAACTGCGGATGCTGTAAATCAGGAACAAAAACAGAAGTTGCTGGAAAAGCTCAGCAGTCTGGTAGCATCTGTCAAGGAAAAAAGTCAGAGTTAATGTTTTGGGTCAGGTGACTCTTCCTCAAGGAACTTCTGTTTTTGTATCTACTGCCATTGTCCTTCTCGATGAAGTGAGCGTAGGTTTCAAAGGTGCTGTCTAAGGAACCTTTGTGAATTTCTGCAGTGCATCTTGTAAATAGTACACACTGCTGCTACTGAGCATTAGTGGTGGAGGAACTGAATGTTTATGGATGTGGTACTAATCAACTAGGCTGCTTTATCCTGGATGGTGTCAAATTTTTTCAATGTCTTGTTTGAGCTGTACAAGTGAGGAATATTCCATCACACTCTTATCTTGTGCCTTGTGGATGGTAGACAGGTTCTGGGGAGTCAGGAGGCAAGTTACTCACTGCAGGAATCCTAGTCTCTGACTTGATCCTGTACCACTGTATTTGTATCTGTAGTCCAGTTCAGTTTCTGGTCAATGAATTCCCAGAATATTGATTCAGTTCATGTAACACCATTGAAATTCAAGAGATGATGGTTAGATTTAGACTTCTTGGAGATGGTCATTGCCAGCCATTGTGTGGCACATATGTTACTTGCCACTTGTCAGCCCAAGCCTGGATATTGTCCACATCTTGTTGCATTTGAACGTGGACTGCTTCAGTGTCTGAGGAGTCTGGAATGGCGCTGACCATTGTGCAATCATTGGCAAACATCCCCACTTCTGACCTTCTGATGGAAGGAAGGTCATTGATGAAGCAGCTGAAGATGGTTGGGCTGAGGACACTACCCTGAGGAACTCCTGAAGAGATGTCCTGGAGTTGAGATGACTGATCTCCAACAACCACAGCCATCTCCCTATGTGCCAAGTATGATTCCAACCAGTGGGAAGTTTGCCCCTGATACCCATAGATTCTAGTGTTGAGAGGAGTCCTTGATGCCACACTCAGTCAAATGTAGTCTTGATGTCAGGGGTTGTTGATCTCACCTCACCCCTGGAATTCAGCTCTTTTGTCCATGTTTGAACCATATGGATGCTCTGACCTGGAAGTATTATAGCTTGATTGTTAACTCAGAAACCCAGGTAATGTCTGGGGACCTGGTTTCTAATCCCATTATGGCAGATGGTGGAATTTGAATCAATAAAAAAAAATCTGTAACTAAGTCTAATGATGACCATGAATTCACTGTTGACTGTTGGGAAAAGACCCATCTGGTTTACTAATGAGCTTTAGAAATCTGACATCCTTACCAGATCTGGCCTACATGTGACTCTAGACCCACAGCAAAGTGGTTTACTCTTAACTGCCCTCTGGGCAATAGGGATGGGTAATAAATGTTGGTCCTGGCTATTGATGCCCACATCCTGTGAATGAATTTAAAAAAGCTTAAAGTCGAGGATGCAGGGAGCCTCCAAAAAATGATTTCGAACTGATCTTAGCTTGGCCTGTCTGTGAAAGTAGTTAATGATTTACATATTAAAGTAGTTGACCACTTATTTCAACAATTGAAAGTCATATTCCATCACCTGCCTGCATTGTCAGATGATGAGGCTTGCTGCTTTTAACAGTAAAAGTTCACCATTTATCTCAGATATTGTCCTGATAAACCGGACCGGCTCAGCTCTGCTGTTCTTATCAAGACAAACCCAATCGAATGTTGTCTCCTGCATTACAATGGTGACTCCATTTGGAGGGAGTCTATTGGAATGGGTTGAGGTCAGACAAGGTGCTAAAGAAATGCAGTTTTACTGACCTGCATGCTTTGTCAGCTCAACAAATGCAGAGCAGTGTTCTGGGTATAATTCTCAACACCTTTCTTGGATTTTTCTGGAAAAGTGACCATGTGAGAGGTTTGAAGTGACCATGTGAAGGTTTGAAGCCACACGGTGACTCTGAGAGGATTTTTTCAGACACAGGGAACAGGAGATTCAGGAGAATCAAGATTTTCCCTGCCTTGATAGTTTCCACAGCATGATTTATCTTCCTCCCTGACAGTAGTTGCAATTCCTGAAATGGGATTTCTCCCCTCAAGTCCACAGGATGAGTGTGGAGTGTCTTGATAGGATAAAAACCCAGCATCTTTGAAAACCCGAGCTGGCATATGAACATATGAACTAATAAAATAGGAGTTGGGGTAGACCATTCATTCCCTTGATCCGGCTCCACCTTTCAGGAAGATCATGGCTGTTTTGAATTCCACATTCCCATCTATCCCCAATATCCTTGTCTAAGACGAATCTAAGTGACAAGAACATCATCAAAGCCACATGATTTGTTTATTTTATTTATTTTTTGGCCTGTTGCAAATCCTCCAGTAATGGTGGTTTGCCCATGGATTCTGCCAAAGCATACTTGTGGGATAGGCTGAAGAACATCATTTGCCAATTGGCAGTCAGAGAGTCAATAAAAATGTCCTTTCCCTTGTATTCCTCAACAAAAGAAACCCCAAAGCTATTGCCACAATGACAATCTGAAGCTTTCTCTGAAGCGTGCAACCAATCAAGTTATGTTACACATCAAGTTCTAACTTCTTAATGATTAGGCAGATCAACAGCCGAGAAGGAAAAGAAATGAAATCCGGATCCCTCCAGCTCATGGGACGTCCTGCTAATGTGCCCAAAGATTTGAGAGTTAGGAATCAGTCTGTTCAGTCACTTAAAGGCCCACATTAGAAACTCACTGTCCTGAATAAACATCATCCTCAAATCAAGAGTGAATTAATGATGTAAAGAAAATAAAATTATTTCTCTTTAATATTCGAGATGTGACTTTATAGTGAGTTCGACCTCAGTTTTGTTTGTATGATGTAAATCAACAAAATCTCTGAGCAACTTGTTTGCCTGAGTATGACTTCCTTTTGAAATTGGTGCAGATATTTTGAAAAGTCTAATTTACAATTCTTTGCACAGCAATTTTTACATAATTGGTGAACAGGTGCTATGCACATACAGTGCTGAAGAAACAAAATTCTTTTTAAACTTTCAATGGGGAAATCTTTGGGTAAAGAGCCTGGAAGATGGTAAAAACCTATGTAAGTGTTCAATTTAACAAATGACCCAATTGTAACATCCTCATTGATTGAAGTTTATATCAAATCTCTGTGGTGGATATTTGTTGTATCATTAAAATAAAAAAAATGTAGAAACTTCTTCAGAAATATCCTTAACTATTAAACGTATTATAACTTCATGGTTTGTTAACAAGCTTCTGTATCATAATCCGAATCACTCATAGAAACTTAGAAACATGCAACATAGACGATGCCATTTAGGCCCATCACGCCTATGACAACTGATTTCCAGCATCTGCAATTCTTTGTTTTTTTTTCTGCCTATGACAAATGTTTGAAAGAGCTATCCACTTACTCACACAGACCAGCATTTTTCTTTCTAGTACTTAACCAATTCTGTTTGGAAAAGTTAATTTTGAATCTGCTCTTTTATCCTTTCATGCAGCATATTCCAGATCACAATTTGAATATACAAGTTAGGAACATAAACCATCCTCTCAGTCCTTTGAATCAGCTCTGTCATTCAATAACTTCATGGCTGATCTGATTTTAGCTTAATTCTACATTCCTGCATATTTCCAATAACCTTTCATCCTTTGGGAAACAGGAATCTATTTGCCTCTGCTTTAAAAATATTTAAAGATTCTACATCCACTGCCTTTTGAGGAAAGGAATTCCGAAGAGACTCAACCCTTTGAGAGAGAAAAAATGTTTCCTAATCTCTGTTTTAAACAGGCAAACCATGACCTTTAAACTGTGACCCCAGTTCTAAAATTCACTGCATAGCAACAATTCTCTCCAGCCATCCCGCCTCTGGGTTTTTTGCTGATTCATGTAAATCTGTGCCCCCTGATCCTCTAGTCTCATTAAACTCTAAATTCTTAAACAATTAAACACATTACTGGACAATACTGTTAAATCCTCTTCATATCTCAGATCCAAGTAGAGTTTATGAAACCAAAAGTCAATCAAGTAAATTTTCAAAACTTTAAAAAATAATACAGGTATTTTTAAACTGTTATCTGAAAAAATGTACTTACGCTATGTGTTCTGGGTATCCCATAGAAAGAACAGCCTCAAGCAAGGAGAATGTGCTTCTGCTTTTTAGCTGAGTGGAGGACTTTGCAGAAAACTCTATCTTACTCTCCGCCATCTCACAGCTTCTTGAAAAACACAAGTAGTTTGCAGTCAAACCTCAAACAGCCATATGACCTTCTTAGCAGATGGCTTCCTGTCAGTGGCTGCAAAAGCTCTTCCAGCACAGGTAATGGTAAATTGCCTAAAATAGTTGAAAGAAATACAATAATTGTAGAGTGATCTTTTAATATTGCGTTTGCACAACTATTTTTCTTAATAATTAAATAAATTTCAAACAAAATAGAAATCAGGATTTTCAGTTTAGATCAATTATACAAAAGAGTGAAATGAAACTTGAAACTTTGTTGTTTCAGAACGTGAATTTGATCCAAGTTAGAGATATGGTTGTCACAGGCAAGGCCATCATGTAACACCCATCTCTACTTACCCTGACCTGCTGCTCCTTGAACAGCTAATTGTTTGATATAATTGAGTGACTTCACAGGAGTTTGTGCTGGGGTCTCAGCCGTTTATAACTTACATCAATGATTTAAATGACAGGAGCCAAGGCATGGGGGCTACATTTACAGTTGACAAAAAAATAGTTAGGAATGTATGAATAAAAGCTGAATAAAGGTGACTACAGAGCTATGAGGGAGGAGCTGGGCAGAATTGACTGGGAGAGGAGCCTAGCAGGAAAGACAGTGGAACAGCAATGGCAGGAGTTTCTGGGAGTAATTCAGGAGATGCAGCAAAAATTCATCCGTAGGAAAAAAGAAGCATGGTACAGGGAGGATGAAGCAACCATGGCACACATGCATGCACACACACACATGTAAATCCATGGGGTGAATTTGTATTTGCAGATACATTTTATTTTGTTCTAAAAGCACACAATTTATAGACAGTCAGTCAATGTGGCGTTTTATAAATTCCCACTTTAGAAATAAAACCTGACTCCAAACTAAATCATAAACAGATACGAAACAAGGCCTCACACCTAACATGCATTGTGTTACCTAAAATGTCGCCTTTTCTTTACACTAATAAAACCTTTAGTTCTCTAAGGACAGTAACTTGAAAGGAATTTGGGGAGTTACATATACATATTAATCAATTAAAACCTTCTAACTGATTAAAGATTTAAAGGCATCTTAAGTTTGTTTAATACATCCTCATCAGTGGTGTGACCGTTTGATCTTTTACTTATAAATTCTGTGTCTGATACTACTTCTGTCACTAACAATCGAAGGAGGAAAGAGGTTCCGAAACCTTGTGTTTTCAAATACCTTGTGTTGGACTATAACCTGGTGTTGTGCAAAATCTAACCTTGTCCACCCCAGTCCAACCCCGGCACCTCCATGTAAGGGCAACTGGGGATGAGAAATGAATCCTGGCCTTGCTGGTGACACCCACATTCCATCAACATAATTTAGAATGTACTAGAATGGATTAATGATTGGCTAACAGATAGAAAACAGAGAGTAGGAATCAATGGGTTATTCTCACACTGGCAGACCACAAGGATCATTGCTTGGGCCCCAGCTGTTCATAGTCTCTATCAGTGGTTTGGAGGTGGGAGCCAAAGTATTTTCAAGTTTACAGATGATAAAAAGCTCAACAGAAATGTATATCTTGTGAGAAAGATTTGGGCAGGCTTTGTGAACAGACAGGTACAGGGCAGGTGGAATATAATATGGAAATTATGTGAGGTTCCCATATGGGTGGGAATACAGATGTGCAGGGTATTTTTTAAATGGTAAGAGGTTGCAAAGTGTAGATATACAAAGGAATTTAGCTGTCTATGTCAATAAGTCATTGAAGGCTAACATGCAGGTGCAGCAAGCTATCAGGAAGGCAAATGGAAACTGAAAGAACATTTGAGTACAGGAGTTGTGAAGTCTTGCTTCAATTGTGTAGAAACTTGTTTAGATTGTACCTGTTGTTTTGGTTAATTCATACACAGGATGAGAGCGTCCCTGACCAGGCAGTATTTATTGCCCATCCCTAATTGCCCACAGGGCAGTTAAGAGTTAACCGCATTGCTGTGGATCTGGAGTCACATGTAGGTCAGATCAGGTAAGGATGGCAGTTTCCTTCCCTAAAGGACATCAGTGAACCAGATGGGTTTTTCCCTGACAACTGACAATGGATTCATGGTCATCATTAGACTCTTGATCCCAGATATTATTGAATTCATATTCCACCATCTCCCGTGGTGGGAACTGAACCTGGGTCCACCAGAACATTACCTGGCTTTCTGAATTAACAGTCCAGTGATACTACCACGAGCTATTGCTTCCCCTGTTTACCAGGATATTACCTAGATTGGAGTGTAATATGTATAAGGAGAGATTGGACAAACTTGGATTGTTTTTGCTAGAGATTGGAGGCTGATGGGTGACCTGATATAAGTATGTAAAATTAAGAAAGGCATTGATAGGGGGTATAGTCGGAGTCTCTTTCTCAGCGTGGAAATGTAAAATACTAGGGGGCATAGGTTTAAGGTGGAAGAGGAAAGTTTAAAGGAGGCGGGTGAGGAAAGCTTTTTACACAGAGGTTTGTAGGTGCCTGGAACATGCTGCCAAGGGAGTGGTAGAAGCAAATTTGATAGCAGCATTTGAGACACATTTAGACAGATATAAGGACATGCGGGGACTAAAGGTATATGGATCATGCAGGGCAGATGGAATTAGTTTAGAATGGCAACATGGTCAGAACAGACATGATTGGCTGAAGGGCCTGTCCATTGCTGTACTGTTCAACGTTCTGTTCTATGTTTATCCAGGCTCTCTTCATAGCTAACGTACTCCATTCCAGGCAACATCCCAGTGAATCTGTAATGAGCTCTTGTACTGCCAATAAGTCTTGCTACAACTAACAAAATCTTACAATCTGCAATGTGTTCTGAGTCCCAAATATATTAAATCTCTGTACTCTTAACTACCTGCCACTGGAAAGTCTGTCTCTGTACTATAACAGAACTCTTCATAATTTTCCCGCTTTCAAATCTCCCTTTAACATTCTCTACCCCTGCGAAAACAACCCCATCCTCTCAATATACTTTGTGCTTTTTTTTAAACATGAACTATTGCAGGAAGTTGGCTGTCAGCCAGAATGGGAGTATGTTAGACCAGGATTAAGCAGGGTTCATGAAGAGTGTTGGAAATCCCAAAATAGCCGCGCTATTATGTTTGCACCAGTTGGTCTGTGCAGCTGCACCTACGCAGATAAGCAAGCCACTTGGTTTAATTTTCTACATGGTTCCTCAATTCTTCCAGAGCATTCCCTCGATTTGGCTGTCAATATGGATAACAGTTATACTTTTCTTGTTTTTAGTTGTGTATCTTGTGAGGAGCAGGAGACCCCTCAGCTTCCCACCTGGGCCTATTAACCTTGGGTTCCTGGGGAATTTCCTGCAGCTTTCGCCTTCAGCACCTCACCGCTCCTTGATGCAGGTAAGATCCCAGGCACTGCATGGGCATTCTCTGCTGTAACCTGGCATCAGCTGCTTAGATCAGAACATTTTCAGGTTTAATCTTCAGTTCTTTTGAAGGGAACTGAACCATGTTGATGCCTCAGCAACTCTGGCGTAAAGATAGATAAATCACAATAATACTTACGACAGTATATACACCCTAACTGCACTTACCATGGTCTGGATACTATTACTGCATTTACTACAGTACTTCTGACCCCAACCTCTCTACCTTTCTTCCACCTCTACCCTTGGGTGCAAACTGGTCAGGCCTGTGCTCCTGGCTGTGGCCTGTAGCTCAGGATTGGGCACCTGCCTCCCTTCCTTCCTGCCCCTCTTCATCTCCTTTCCTCTCCCCACCTTCCCCTCACTCCCTTCATCCCTCTATCAAGCTGTAGCCCAAGAGCTGGACACACACTCCCTCCTTCTCTGTCTTTAAGACAAGGATTAGCAGATTTAAAATAGAGTTGAGGACAAATCACTTCTTTCAAAGGTTCGTGAATCTATGGAATTCACCACCCCAGAGTGTGGCAGGTGTCAGCTCATTGAGCACATTTAAGGAGGATATAGAGTTTTAATTAGTAATGGGTTGAAGGATTATAGCGTGTGGGCTGGAAAGTGGAGTTGAAGCTGACATGAACTCAGCTTTGATTGTATCAAACAGCAGAGTAGGCTCGAGGGGCTGAATTTCCTACTCCCGCTCCCAGTTCTTATGTTATGTTTTTATGTTCTTATGAACTGCTTCCAATGCATTAATATCCTTGAGTGAGTATGGTGACAAGTGCTGAAAGCAGACTCCATATTTGGTCTCACCAATGCCTTGCATAACTCATACACAAGAAAGAAATTAGCATTGGCAGAGAGGATGTTCTGAATGGTCTCACAGGATTAAAAGGAGATTAAATCTCCAGGGCTGGCTGAAATATATCCCAGGCTGTAGAGTGAGGCAAGGGAAGAAATAGCAGGGGTGCAGGCAATAATCTTCAATTCTTCTTTGGCCACAGGAGAAGTGCTGGAGGACTGAGAGCAGCTAATGTGACACCATTACTCAAGAAGAGAGCAAGGGATAAATCAGGAAGCTACAGGCCGGTCAGTCTAACCTTGGTGGTGGGAAAACTATTGGAACCAATTCTGAGGGACAGAAATAATCTACAGTTGGAGAAGCAAGGATTAATCAAGAACAGTCAGCACAGTTTTGTTAAGGGGACATCATGTCTGACCAACTTGACTGAATTTTTCATAAACATAACTAGGTGTGTAGATGAGGACAACGTAATCTACATAGTCTACTCGGATTTCAGCAAGGTTTTTGATAAGATCCAGCATGGGAAAGTGATACCTAAGGTAAAAGCTCATGGGATCCAAGGAAATTTGGCTAACTGGATACCGAATTAGCTGAGTGACAGGAAGCAAAATGTGATGGTGGAGGAGTGTTTTGTGTCTGGAAACCTATATCCAGTGGAGGTCTGCAGGGATCAGTGTGGGGGCCCTTGCTGTTTGTGGTATATACAAACGATTTACGCTAAAATGTAGCAGAGTTGATCAGTAGATTCATGGATGCTATAAGAATTACGGGGTGGTAAATAAGAAGGAGGATAGTCTTAAATTACAGGAGGACACAGATGGGCTGATCAGTGGCAAATGAAATTCAATCAAATAAGTGTGAGGTGATGCACTCAGGCAGGACAAACAAGGCAAGGGGATACATGATGAACAGTAGGACCCTGGGAAGCACTGAGGTTCAGAGGGACCTTGGTGTCCCTGTCCACTGATCCATTGAGAGATCAAGACAGAAGGTATATAAGATACTTGCTTTGATTAGCTGAGGCACAGAATTTAAGAGCGCAGAGTTTATGCTAGAATGTATAAAGCATTGGCTAGGCCTCATCTAGAGTATTGTATGCAGTTCTGGAAGCCACATTTAGGAGCAACATGACAGGAGAGGGTGCAGGGGTGATTTACCAGGTTGATGCCTGGGCTGGAAAGTTTTAGTTATGGAAAAAGGGGATGGTAGGAACTGCTGATGCTGGCGTCTGAGATAACAAGGTGTAGAGCTGGATGAACACAGCAGGCTAGGCAGCATCAGAGGAGCAGGAAAGCTGACGTTTCGGGTCTGGACCCTTCTTCAGAAATGGATAGATTCGGGTTGTTTTCCTTGGAGCAGAGGAGACTAAGAGGGGACATGATTGAGATGAATAAAATTAAATAGGAAGAAACTGTTTCCCATGTTGGAGGAATCAAAGATCAGTCGGCAAAGATTTAAGATAAGGAGCAGGAAGTTGGGATGGAATGTGAGAAAATATACTTTCACCCAGAAAGTCGCAATCTGGAATTCACTGTCTGTAAGGGAAGTAGATGCAGAAACTCTACAGGTTTTAAATCTGCACTTGTGATGCCAGGACATACAAGGCTATGGGGCAAATGCTGGAAAATGGGTTTGAAAAAGTAGGTGGTTATTTTTGACAAGTGAGACTTGATAAGCTGAAGTGCCTTTTTCTGTGCTTTGGAACTTATCAAATAATAGAATCCCTACCATGTGGAATGGGGCTATTCAGCTCATTGAGTTCACACTGAACAAGCAGACCCATCCTCCTACCCTATCCCTATAACCCCACATTTTCTATGGCTAATCCACCTAGCCTGCACACTATGGATAATGTTAGCATGATCAATTCACCTAACTTGCACATCGTTAAACTATGGGAGAAATCAGGAGCACTCAGCAGAAACCCATACAGACATGGGAGAATGTGCAGACTCCATATTCACACAAGGCTGGAACTGAACCCAGGTCCCTGGCACTGTGAGGAAACAGTGTTAACCACTGGGGCACCATGTAGTGCCCTGTGACTCACAAACTCCTTACTTTTGCATTCAATTCCTTTCAAAATAAAACATGACGTTTTATGAGCCTTCCTGATTACTCGTATCTGCAGACTAATCTGTGATTTGTGCACTAGGACACCCAGATCCCTTTGTATCTCCAAGCTCTGTAGCCTCCCATTATTAGAAGCATATTTATCTTTTTTAAAAATTCTTTCTGCCAAAATGGACAATTTCTCACCTTCCCACATTGTACTCCATTTGACAGAACTTTGTCCACTCACTTAACCTAACTATATCCCTTTGTAGGCTCCTTGTTTCCTACCTATCTTTGCGTCATCAGCAAGTTTAGCTGCCATACCTCAATCCCTTCATACAAATCATTTATATAAATTGTAAAGAGTTGACGTCCTAGTACCAACCTGAGTGGCACATCACTCGTGAAATCTTGCCAGCATTTATTCCTACTCTCTGCTTCCTGCCTGTTCATGCCAACATATTCCTACCTACACCATGAGCTTCTATTTTTCACATTAACATTTGATATGATGCCTAATGAAATACCTTCCAGAAATAGAAACATCAAAAATAAGAGCATGAGTAGGCCATTTGGATGAAATCTGCTCCGCCATTCATTATGTCCATGGCTGATCATTGAACTCATTTTCCCCATATCATTTAATCCCTTTTGCCCCCAGTGCTTTTTCAACTCCTTGTTGAAATTATACAATATCTTAGCCTCAACTGCCTTCTGTGGTAGCTAATTCAATGGGTTCATCAGTCTCTGGGTGAAGAAATTTCTCCTTATCTCACCCCTAAATGACCTACCCTGAATCCTCAAACTGGTTCTGAGATCCTCCGTCTTCAGGAACATCCGAAGTTTACTCTATCTCGTCCTATTAGAATTTAATAGACTTCTCTGAGAATCCCCCTCATTCATCAGAACTCCAGTGAATATAATCCTAACCAATTCAACCTCCCGCCAACCCAGGAGTCAGTCTTGTAAACCTTTTTTACACTCCCACCATAGCCAGAACATCTTTCCTCAGACAAGGAGAGCAAAAATGCACACATTACTTCAGGTGTGGTCTCACTAAGGCCCTGTATAATTGCAGTAAGTGCAATAAATGCTCCTGCACTTGAATCACCTCACTATGAAGACCAAAATACCATTTGCCTTCTAGCCCACCTGCAGCATCTGCTTGCTTACTTTCAGTGACTGGTGTATGAAGACACCCAAATTGTGTTACTCATTCCCCTCTCTCAATTCAGAACCATCCAGAATAATCCATCTTCCTGTGTTTGCTCCTACATTTATTATTATTATGATACATCTGCCAAGCATATGCTCACTCACTCAACTTGTCTCTAATTGAGTACAATACATCCACTGGTTGACCTTTATTGACAAGTTATTTCTTCAAAGACCTCCAATAAATCAGTTAAACATCATATCCCTTTGACAAAACCATATTGGCTTTGCCTAATTATATTGAACTTATCCAAGTACCCTGTTATAATGTCTTTAATAATAGCTTCTAACATTTTAATCGTAGAATCCCTAACAGTGTGGAAATAGACCATTTGGCCCATCGAGTCCACACCAACACTTGAAATAGCATCCCACCCAGACTCATACACCTAGCCTATCCCTGTAACCCTGCATTTACTAAGGCTAACTCACCTAGCCTGCACATCCCGAGACCCTATGGGCAATTTAGCATGGCCAATCCACCTAACCTGCACATCTTTGGACTGTGGGAGGAAACCAGAACACCCAGAAGAAACCCATGCAGAACCAGTCACCCGAGTCTAGGATTGAACATAGGTCCTTGGTGCTCTGAGGCAGCACCGCTAACTACTGAGCCACCATGCCACCCATTTTCCCTACCACAGACATTAAGCTAACTGGCCTGTAGTTTCCTGCTTTCTGCCTACCTTCCTTTTTGAATAAATGAGTTATATTAGTTATTTTCCAATCTAAAGGAATCTTCCCAAATCTAATGAGTTTTAAAAAGTTAAAGCCAACAATCAGCATTCCCACTAGCTACTTCTTTTAAAAGCCTAGGGTGAAATCCATCAGGACCCAGGGACCTATCAACTTTAGTTAGTACTACTTCCCTAGTAATTTTAATTTTATTGAATTGTCCCCCACCTTTAATTCCAGCTTTATAGCATTTTTTTGGAATGCTACTTTAGTCTTTCGAGTGAAGACAAATGCAAAATATCTGTTCAATTCATTTATCATCTCTTTATTCTCTGTTACTAATTCCCATGACTCATTTTTTATAAGACCAGAACTTACTTTGTTATCGTAAATTCATACATTGCAGAAAAGGCTGTTTTTCTTTAAATACCTGAAGAAACTTTTCCTACCTGTTTTTATATTTTTGGCTAACTTTCTCTTGTTCCTTAATTTTTCCTCCTTCTTACAGTTTCAGTAATTCTTTGCTTTTAAAAATGTATTTTGTCCAGTCTTCCGACCTGCCACCTATTGTTGAGTTTGAAGTTAATCATGGATGGCTTAGAATTTTTCTTATGTTTTGGAATGTATCTTGTACTGATCATAACGAGGTCAGCCAGCTGGACATCATAGAATATGAGTTCCCTGATTGGGGCTGCTAACCTGGCCCAAATAGGGAGCCCTGGCTGACAGATATAAACAGGAGTGTCAGAGGTAGTTGCACTCTGAGATCTGGCTCTGAATGAGGCATTACTAAGGTCTTAGTGAAAACATGTAGCTCGGCTTGTGAATGCAGTTGTTCGTTAGCTTGCTGAGCTGGTTGTTCTGTGGTGTGCAGATGTTTTGTTACCATTCTAGACAACATCATCAGTGTGACCTCTAATCAAAGCGTTGGTGTTCTGCTTCCTTCTAGATTTATATGATCCTCTGTCTACACCTGAACAGTACTGGGACTGGTGTTCTTGTGAGCCGCATAACTAGAGAAATAAAGTGGATTTTAAACTATGTTGTGGGGGCAAGGGCCCAAATTTGAAAAGTTGTGGTGCATCAAAAGGTGAGGAAATGTAATAGAGAAAGGAATTAATATGATAAATGATAAACGAACAATGAGAGGAAGGGACAAAGGATACAAATCTAAGAGAAAATTAATAGATAAAACTAGAGAATAAGTGGACAAATCTTAAGGCACTGCATTTGAATGCATGTAACTTTTGGAACAAAACAGATGAACTAGTAACACAAATTGAGATAAATAAGTAGGATGCAGTGGCCATAACTGAGGCATGGCTGCAGAATGACTCAGATTGGAACCTGAATTCTGAAGGCTATGTGACTTTTAGGAAGGGCAGGAAACTAGGAAAGAGTGGTGTTGTTAATTAAACTTGGTTGAGGGAAGGGCAAGATTGGCAACAAATTATCCCAGGATATAGATGCTTCAGGCGGGATAGAGATGGAGGTAAAAGGGGTGGAGGAGTTGCATTACTGGTCAAAAAGGATATCACAGCTGTGCTGAAGGAGGACATTATGGAGAACTCGAGCAGTGAGGCAATATGGGCAG